TTATCCTTATTTTTTTCATATAAATAGGGAGTCTTCAGTAGATTGTACGTAATCATCATGAAAAAAAAATAGAGGTTATAGAAAATAGGTTTGCGACTTTTTTAGTAAACTTCATTTCATCATAGAGAATTACTATAGTGACGAAAGACAGAGTTGTACTACCTTGAGGAGAACCACTATAATCTTGCGTATTCTTGAGTATCTATATATTCTTTTTGTGATTTTATTACACTTGATTGGAAAAGAATTAGAGTTTCTAGTTCTCAACAATTGGTATCAGAGCTTTCAGTGCTTTTGGTTATGATTGAGAGCTTTGTCTCTCATGAAGAAGTAAGTTTATTAGGAATCTTCAAATTTGATTATATAGATTTTGCTGTTGAAGGATACAAATAGAGGATTATATATACAATAAAAATGCAAATGAGAAGTTGAAATGAATGAAGGATGATGAGTGAAAGCTTGTTGATCATTGTTAACCTGTCTACGAATTAAAAGCCTTTGCATGTAACAAGGTACACTCTATGAAAAAATTATTTAATTTAAAGATGACCTCTCTATGTGTGAGACATTTGTCGGCCCATATTAGTAGCCTCCTCTTAACATTGTGACTGGGGTTAATGGCCCATTATATAAAGCAACAAAATATGAATATTTTGTATGTTCTTTTTAGGAAATTAATGTGCATTAAAATGAAAGAAACTGTTCAAAGTGAAGAGAATACAGAACTGGGAAAATTTGGAAATTTTTAATCTTGGGATACAAATACTTCAACAAATGGCTCTTCATTTTTATGTTTTTGTTCAAGGAGTTAGACTTTGCCTTAAAAGGACAACTTAGATACAGGAACTCAGATATAGAAGAAACATAGGAGCTAAGTAGTTTAGAAAGTGAGGAAGAGGGAAAAGGAAAAACTTGTGATGCTTGAAAGAGAGATAAAAGTCGGTCTTGGCTAACCCGGAAATCAGCACCACTTTGTTTTGGAAAAAGCCTTATTGCTCGCATTCAAGCACGCAGGATGTATTGTGGATGTTCCTGTTGGAAAGGCTATATATGCTAGGGTCAGTGGTCAATTGGTTGGTGGAACCTATTTATGGCACAGGTTCTTAAGAGCTGACGATTAACGTGAAAGAAAGAAGAAAGATAGGCCAAATGATAGATATTCTCAATTAAGAACAAATATAGGATTTTAGAGCAATAAGCCTAGTTGGCATTCCTTCTACTTGTGTTCTTGCTCCAGCTACCAGGCCTGGTTTTGCCCAGAGCGAACTAGGCAGCCGCCTTGGGCCTTAGAAATACAAGGACCTCTTAACATTAATAAATAGATAAATAAAAGAGCAGCCGAAACCAGCCCACAATAATCCACCCACTTACTCAAAATAATTCCATTTTACATAGATGATAGATGGTAAGATGATTAAAAAATGGCAGAAAATTTTCCAGATTGTAGAGTTCACAGAAGTAGATTTGCAGAAGAAATTACAAGTAATCGTTTCGTGTTCCGTAATTTCTCTCTCGTCTCATGTATTGTTTTCAAGATTGTATTCTTCTTCATTGTTCATTCAATAGAGAATTACTCTAATGTGCAATAAAATGTGGATTTCTCTAATTTGAGAAGGAATGAAAGTCATTTTAATAGGTTTATCGATCTCTTGAATTCTATAATAGAACTGATGCATAATATTGGGATATTGAATTTTACATTGGATTTTGTGAATCCTATTTGTCTGTTAAAATTAAGTTAATGATTCAGTAACTTCGCTTATATGTATTTTGTTAAATGTTAATGGCTGAATTTTAACCTGGGATGACAATGAAAATGCAAAATAAATAAGAGAATACTTATGCATGTACTTGTGTGCCTTCAGGTTCTGCTGGAGTTCCAAAAATTAGGAAATGATTAAGGAAATTTCCTGCTCAATATGAAAAAATATGTTTCTTAACTTCCATTGCTTAACATATATAGTACAAATGGAATGAAGTAGTATTATTCACAAATGGAACTGTAGGGAAATAAATTTTATACGTAATAGAAGGAATGAAAAGGTTGAAGCATGATAAACGTCCTAATAAACTTCTGTTTTAGCTTCATCATCAAGTTTAGTATTATATGGTGAAGATGGAATTGTGTAGAGAATATCCACCATATTTTAGTTGATGATTATTTTTAATCGGCCATCTTAAAAATTTATTAGTTTATCATATGTCGCTTTATTAGTCACCTAGGACTTCAAATTTCTCAGGCCCGCCCTGCCAGCTACCATGTTTATAGTATATAGGGGAAAAGACAAAATTTCTTTATCAATATTGCCTTGGAAGTTTATCGTATTTTTTACTTGAACATGCGTGAGTGTAAGGAATGCACCTGCATAACATGTACGATTTTCGTGCAAAAAAATAATCTACCACTTCAATGGGCTTTTCCACCAAAAAATTAAAATAAAATAAAATAGATAAGAATCAATAAGAGCAATGTATCTATGAGGATATGCACTAGTCTTTTTCACCTTACAAATCTTACTTCAACACAAGCTTCTGCATTTTTATGTTTATGTTTAAAGAATTTGATTTAATACGGAAAAATAAAATAGTGCTATACATTTTGGAAAGTATGGAACTCCATTAATGTTGCCTTGGAAGTTCATCATTTTTTCTAGTTGAACTTGCTCGAGTATACTACACATGCCAAACACGTGCAAATAAAATAAAATAAAATAAAATAAGAATCAATAAGAGCAATGTATCTATGAGGACATGCACTTGTCTTTTTCACCTTACAAATCATACTTCAACACAAGCTTCTTCGTTTTTATGTTTATGTTTAAAGAATTTGATTTTAATACAGAAAAATAAAATAGTGCTATACATTATGGAAAGTATGAAACTCCATTAATGTTGCCTTGGAAGTTCATCATTTTTTCTAGTTGAACTTGCTCGAGTATACTACACATGCCAAACACGTGCAATTTCCATGTAAAACTAATAAATTGTTTAAATGTGTTGGTGTTTAAACAAGGGGAAAAAAATCCTTGCCAAGTCCTCTGTTTGATTTTGTTTCCATATATTGACATTGACTGTGAAGGATAGATTATTCAGTTAGCTGGTGAAGAGAGCTTCAAAGTATCTCATGTTTCGTGTCCATAAGCTCTTCCTATGTTTTATTTTAATGACAGTCTCCAGGGGGATTAAAATTAATAAGTTGTAAAGTTACATTTTCTAAATATATTTGAAAAAGGTAAAAAAATGTGATGTTGCTGTAACTCAAGGTAGTACTTTTCAATTTCAATTGGGAACTTTTAAAAGGTGTTACTTGTTGAAGCTTTCGCCACATGACTTGCATATATTAGGGGAGATTTTTGTTTAATGGAACCGTTCGAATCCCAACTTTTGAAATCATGACCACATGCACCTTTGGAAATTTAGATTGAGAACCAATTCTTTATTGGCATGCATAGTCATCAAGACAGAAAATGGATTGAGGGATTTTCACGACGAAGTAATGGAATTAAGTACAAATCTGGTGCAGCATAATCTCGTTCCTTGCAAAGGCGTAAAAATATTTGGTCTGGCAGAACATCATTTGAATCTGTCAAATCACTATTGAAGGTAGTTTAAGTACGAAGAGATGGTCTATGTTGATGCTATGATAGAGGATACAGATCCGGGTTACCAATTTTATGGCATTAGAACAGAACATATGGAAACTAACTTGAAGCAGAATGACAAAATTGATGAACCTTGAGGAAATATTTCTGTGCCAAATCAGAGCGCAAGGGTCCAAGGCATTCATATGGAATGTCCTTCCCATCTGAAGGGATAAAATTTACCATTGATGGTAGGTTAGATGTTAAATTTTTATAAATGTACATACTTGTCAAGATATACCGAAAGAATTTACAAAATCTGTGACTAAATCCAAATCGAAGACTCAAATATTTTTCTTGTGGTCTTGTATCCACACTTAATCATATGGATCTTTAGGATCAGTGTGTGTTTCCTCTTAAGGTCAGCTAGGTAATTAGCTATTATGCTCAGACTCGGATACAGGTATGTATCTAAGTGTTGGATATTTTATTTTCTAAAATGTATGATACAGGAACATGGCTAAAAAGAATCCAAATTTCGGACACAATACATGGGTAGATCTTTCAAATTTCAAATTATCCCAGAAATTCACATATAAAAGGTAATAATATTTAAGTGAATTTTAATTAGAAAAAAGGTTGAATGACTAAAATGAAAACTTAATCAAAGTATGGTGACCTCTAATGAAAATTTAAGTAAAGTCGAGCCATGCTTCTTAATTCTTTTAATAGGCCTCAATTAGGGTCTCTCTTCATTTAGCGCCATCCTCTATCATCCCTAGCACCTACGGCACTAAATCAAGGTTTCCTCTCCCACCAATTCTTTCCCTTTTTCACCTTGTAACGTATCCTCTTCAGCACAGCTGCCTCCTTGCTCAGCCCATTTGCCATTTCCTCTTCAGGTTTGTCTCCTCTTCCTCACAGCTGCCTTCTTGCCCAGCTTCCTAAAGCTTTGCATCAACCTACGCCGTGTCCGCCCCCTATTTCATAACCATACCCATATCATGTTATGACTACAGGAGTATGCTGGCCGGAAACAAGAGTCCGAGCATCACAAGTATTAAGCAGTGAACATAAAGTTAGAAAATAACTTGAAAACTGGCACGTGCATAAGAAGTGCTTTTTTTTTTTCTTTTTTTTTTTTTAACAAAAATGTTTAAATATAAAAATGTCTATATCTTATTTCGAGTATTAAAAACTAAGAATATATATGATAAACAAACATTTAATTTCAAATGCATTTTTTCCAAATAACAAGGGAAAGACAAAGCACTCGTTTCGTTAACTAAGCAATCCAAGGCAATGCAAATGCAAAAACACAATCAAAGCCTGATCATTAGACTAAAACATACACAACATTTTCAATTTGTTCTAAAATAATGTCAACTGATAATCCATTTCAAATAAGATACCACTAAGTTATAGATCCTTCTCACGTATGGCAAAGTATCCAGCCCTCATCTCAATTACAAATCCACAACCAAGGCTCCACTCCTTAACAACCTTCAATCCACCTCCATCCAGCCTTCCCCTCTTCTCTTTCTTCCCAAAGAACGACCTTCCAAGCTTTTCGCTGACTTCAATCCACCTCCATCCAGCCTTCCCCTCTTCGCTTTCTTCCCAAAGAAAACACCTTAAGTTTACTACTCTCCTTGAAGCACATATACATTTTCACCAGCATTCCACTAACCTTCTTCCATTCCAGACTCTCCAGGTCCAACCACAAGATCAAGATGGTTCACACGCTAAGGGAAGAAAACTAGCTTTTTAACCCTTCAACCATGTAAATATTGGCCTTCTCCAATTGCAGTCGCTTCAAAATGCCAAACATGTTGCCCCACTGCCTCTTCTCCACCCAAACCCACTGCTTCGTTTTCTCAATATCTGTGATTTATCCTATTAGCTCCTAGTGAGTCCAAGTCTGGTCAATAGTCCAGTGATGAGAGATCTGTCTGTTTAAAGAAAATGAGAGAATATTTAATTACTTCCAATTTCCTAAAAAATTTGTTCAAATTTATTTGTTGATGTTACTTAAGTACAAGACATTTCAACTTGGACGTACAGCATGTCTGACATTCCACGTCCCACGATGATTATTCTCTACAAATTTTAATCTCAAGTTCGATTGTAAGATATTTGCAAGATATATTACCAACGACACTTGTTATGGGTTTATTAGAAAATTTCCTCGTACTGGTTTCCGGTATTTCCTTGTCATTTCCCTTCCTTATGAAATATGTTACTGTAAAGAACATATTAAAAACTTCCCTTAGCTAGAGATTTCAACTCCCTCTTTCTCTCTACACTGTTCGTTTTTCAATTTTTGAAGACCATAATTCCTAAAAACCATAGACAAATGAAGAAAGTATAGAAAAGAAAAATAAATTTTCATAGCACAACTCCCTTTCTAAACACGTCCCTCTCGGGTAATTCAAAGCTATCTTGACCAAGAAGGGTTGGAAAAGAGCATGAAACCCCTCTCCCAAGGTGTGAGGGTGGAGCTCTTGGGCTACAGTTTCAATTAAATAAATTTGGAGTTTCGCACTTACAATTTTGGTTTTATCCTTATTTTCCTTATAAATAGGAAGTCTTCATTAGGTTGCACGTAGTCGTCATCATAAAAATAAGTAGAGGTTATAGAAATAGAGTGTTTGACTTTTCTTGTAAACTTCTTTCATCATAATGAATTAGAAAGATGATGTAGTACTACCTTGAGAAGAACATCCATAGTCTTGCATGTTCTTGAGTATATATATTCTTTTTGTGATTTTATTATACGTGATTTGTATAAAATTAGAGCTTCAAATTGTCAACAATTAGAACCCCAGTTTTTGGTGCTTTTGGTTTTGATTAAAAACCCTTTGCGCTTAACAAGGTAGACCCGATAAAAAAAATTATTTAATTTAAAGATGGCCTCCACATGACATTAGGCCTAAGGTAGTAAATGGCCCATTATATAAAACAACAAAATATGAAAATTTTAATGTTCGTTAAATTGAAAGAAATTGTTCAAATGGAAGAGACTACAGAACTGGGAAATTTTGGAAATTCTTGCGATACAAGTTCAACACATGGCTCTTCATTTTTATGTTTTTGTTCAAAGAGTTAGATTCTGCTTTAAAAGGACAACTTAGATACAGGAACTCAGATATAGAAGAAATATATGAGCTAAATAGTTTAGAAAGTGAGGAAGGGGGAAAAGGAAAAACTTGTGATGCTTGAAATTGAGAGAACAGTTGCCTATGGCTAACACAGAAATTAGCACCACTTTGTTTTGGTGAAAGCCTCATTGCTTGCATTCAACCACGCGGGATGTATAGTGGATGTTTCTGTTTGAAAGGCTATATATGTTAGGGTCAGTGGTTGACTGGTCGGTAGATCCTCTTTATGGTATAGGCCCCTAAGAGCTAATGACCAACGAGAAAGAAAGTGGCAAGATAGGCCAAAAGACGGATAGATACTCTCATTCAAGAACAAATATAGAATTTTAGAGCGATTAAGCCTAGTTGGCATTCCTTCTACTTGTGTTCTTGCTCTGGCTACTTGTTATCAATGTTTGCCTTGGAAGTTTATCATATTTTTACATGAACTTGTCAAGTGTATGGAATGCACCTGCCTAGCTGGTACAATTTTCGTGCTAAAAACACTGTCTACCTCTTCGATGTGACTTTTCCCAAAAAAATGAATCCATAAGAGCAACGTGTCTTCAAGGACATGCCCTAGTCTTTTTCACCTTAAAAATCTTACTTCAACCCAAGCTTCTTCATTTCTATTTAAAACTAAGGAACTTCATTAATGTTGCCTTGGAAGTTTACATAATTTCTAGTTGAACTTGCACGAGTGTACTGCACGTTCCAAGCACGTACGATTTCCATGTAAAGCTGATAAATTTCGGTGTAAAACTGACCATCAACAGCTGCAATGGCGAGATGGTTTATTAATATTTAATAAAATAATATTAAAAATTCTTCAATCAATGTATAAATGCACTAAAACTTAAAAACCATATAGGTGGCAGCGCTTATTTCCTTTACACTGGATGGAGATTCCAAGAAACGATCCATTTTGACACTACTAAAAAATTTTCAGTGGGCATCAAGTACCCAAGAATGATCAAAGTTCCTAATTTTTGAAAAAATAACTTTGAAATTCGTTGGTCTTAATAAAATAAGCAAAGTCCCTGATTTTATATTAATCCTAACAGCGAATTTATTCAAGATCCTGAACTCAGACAGCGTTTTAAAGTTAAATTTTTCCTTCAATATTAAACTTGGATTTACTTAACGCATGATTAAAAAAGAAAAGTAAAGAAAATATTTCATTTCCACAAGAAAAAATATATAAAAATAAGCACGAAAAATAAACATACCATGAACTGGCGAATTCGTAGAGCTTTCCGGTGCCAGAAAAAATTATGACAGCAACTTGTGCAGCACACAAAATGGCCAATTCTTTTGCCTTCTTCAGCAATCTGCCTAGTCGTTTTGAGAACGTCACTTGCCAGCTATTGATGTTCTCAATCTTCTTAATCTCAACTTTTCCTCTACCCATTTTTCACCCTTCAATAACATCCAAATACTCCGAGAAAGAAAGAATGTGGAGAAGAGGGAGACGGGTAGGGTGGAGTGGAATGGAATGGAATTGGTATTATAAATACAATAGATGCTATAATTCCTTTTCGGTGTGGTGGAAATTTTTATTGCTTTTGGTCTAATGAAACAAAAGCTATTGATGTTCTCAATCTTCTTAATCTCAACTTTTCCTCTACCCATTTTTCACCCTTCAATAACATCCAAATACTCTGAGAAAGAAAGAATGTGGAGAAGGGGGAGACGGGTAGGGTGGAGTGGAGTGGAGTGGAATGGAACGGAATTGGTATTATAAATACAATAGATGCTATAATTCCTTTTCGGTGCGGTGGAAATTTTTATTGCTTTTGGTCTAATGAAACAAAAGGGTGAATGAATTTGGAGACAAAATATAAGGGAAATAATATACCCGTGGGCTGCCACCCAGCCTCGCCTGGTGCTGGATCCATCGGTGACAACAGCAATTCACATCCCCATATCTTACTCTCTGAATAGTAGAGACTGGCATGCTCTGTAAGAAGGAATGTATCATCCAAACCAAATAAAACAGAGCCGTGCCAAGATCGAGCCGAGCCGAGCGGAGCAGAAGGAGGATTTAACAAGCGGGTTAAAGGGTTACAAACCACAAGGGACATATATATTATTGATCAAAGAATTCGTCATAAATAATTACGGGTAAACTGCAAAAACTTTTCTGAAATAAAAAAAAATGCACACACACACACACAAAAAGAGTCGAGGGTAAGGCTTAAATTTATTGCAAAAAATATTTATTTAATTTCTAGAAGGTCATGAGAGCACGTGCCTAGAACATGCAATTTTTTCCAGAAATTTCAAAAAATTCGATTTTATCAGTGGTTAAACCCTAATTGAATATAGAAGAAACAAATAATAGATTACAACAAGAATGCAGAGCCTTATTGTCTAAAGTTGATATTGTCATTAATGGTATATACTATATATCTTTGTGACTGAAGTTTTGGGATGTGATCTTTGATGCTCCATAAACAAGGACAACCTTACAGCTTACGGAGATATAATGCAACAATTGAAAATTTGTTTTGATTTTTCTAGTATATGTTGCCTATGATGCTCGGACTTGAGTATAGGTATCAGGTATGGGTACGTATCTACTTGTCGAATTTTTTATTTTCTAAAATGTATGATACTGGGACATGGTTAAAAAGTATCCAAATTTCAAACAAGGTTGCATCTTTCAAACTTCAATTTTTTTACTAATCCAAGATATCATTTTGAATATTCTAAAATCAGTTATTTACAAAGAAGGAAATTGGAATTGAATAAGGGGTTAAGACGAAAAAATAGAATTTTGGAGTCTAATTTTCAATTATGAAAATTATTAAATTTTATATAAAATAGAAAATGAGAGACTTGATTGCAATTTGGATTTAGTGGAGCACTGAATAGTACTACATGGAACCCATTTCATTTCATACAAACAAAACACTAAATCACTAATACAAAAGGAGAAAGAAAGAAGTAGAAAAAGAAAGGGAAAACATAGCGTCGCCACTTTTCTCCACCTCTCAATGGCAACACTAGGTTTTAAAAAAAAATGAAGAAGAAGAAGCAAAAATGACGAAATGTCCGATTAAAACTTAAAGATCCAACACATATCTCATACCCATCCCATGTCATGTCGTGTCCGATATAGGTACTCCTACTATTTTGAAGTGTCCGAGCATCAGAGTATGTTGCAACGTATTAAAGTTATGTTTTTCTCTTGAAATAAATGGCCTCATCATGAGCTATGAATATGCCATTAAAGGCCCATCATGAAACAACAGAACCTGAAATGATCACATCAGTGCACAAGAATTTTAAGTACATGGAACACTTGAAACTACCACTCCTTGATTATCACTCCTCATCGACGAGTGAGGGACTTATGATACAAAGGTACCCAAAAAAGATTAACCAAACTTGAAGTGATATTTGACGTGATTAAGGGCGTTGCACAGATATGGACATCGACTGGCATTAGATGATATTCCTCAATGTTGAAATCTTTTTTGTCGGCTGGTAAGAACTTCAAGAGTACCCTTCTATAAGAACATGTGCCTACACTCACATCCAAAGTTAGGTTGTGTGCTCGGGTGTTCCTGCGATGAACCTCCGCACTCAAGTCAGAAACAAGGATTAAAGGGAAAAGGAAAGTTAATTAAATGTTGTTTTTATGTGTTTATTGCAGAATCAATATTACCTTTCCTTGGCGATCCTTTAAACAGGCTTTTCCTATTAGCTAGATTTGGTAAATTGCATGAGTATGCAACATTATTGAAACTGCAACACTATCTGGGGCTCGGCTCGCTAGCCATCTCTGATTTCCTTCATTTGTATTGTACTGAAATCTGAGGCTTCCTCATTAGCCTCATTATTGCCTTATAATGCATTCGGATACCGGGAGATATATTGAAGACTTGTTTCTGCAAATACTCAAGTCATTGACTAAAAGAAGGAAGATCGAGATGCACGAGGAATACTAACTGATAGCATAGAAATTATTACGGGGGATTTGCATGTGCCCAAGATAATAGCTTTGAATATTACCTTGCAGGTCCCTTACCCAATCATAACTTTATATGCTTAGTAATTGGTCTCGATGGTCCACATATAAAGTAGTTAAAATTATATTCATAAGATAGTTTATCGTGTTTTATAGTTGAAGATAGTTTATCGTGTTTTATAGTTGAACTTGCTTGAGTGTATTAGTTGCACCTACCTAGCACGTGCAACTTCCGTGCAAAATTATTACGCAGTTTAAAGTATCAGTGTTTAATTATAGGAAAATTCTCTAACTCAAGGTATTTGTTAATTGGAAATGGAAACTTTCAAATGGTGTCACTTGTCGGAGCTTTTTGGCACATGAAAGGCATAATATTTTGAGGAGATTCTTCATTTATCAGAACAGTGGAATCCAAAGAAGCTATTGGAGTTGTTCCCAAAGTTTTGGCAGAGTGAGAAAGGGCCGCTGAGGTTAGATGAGAAGACTGGAAAACCGAGAGGGTTCTGTTTGTTTGTCTGCTAGAGACTTGAAAGTCCAATGAAAGAATTAATAAAACTGCACTAAATCATTGGCTTAACAAATTATCTATTGAGCCATGAAAAAGATTCAACAAATTAAAAGACAAAAACAAATCCACTATTTGTTTTACATCAAGCAATACGTGGAGTAAATCCCGATACAGCAGTGACAGCAAGACATGTAGGTGGATCAACTCGTCAAGTTCCCATTGAAATAGAAGTCTTATAATGGTATCCCAATTCAATAAACTCAAACTAGCACATTGATCCATTTAAAGTACAAACGAGTTTCATATTCGAAGATTGGCGCTAAAAAGATGAGCCACCATCTTTCAGCGTTATGTTCAGGGTAAGTTCGACATTGAATTAACATGAAATGAATTTATGATTCTTAAAGATGAAATGAATGTACTTTTGTTTCTGTTGTGGTGAAATACTATGAAAAACAAAAATATGATGATTCTCAAAAGAGAATTAGAATAGGACACAATTTCTTCATTTATATTGTCTTCTCTAAGTTTTTTATTTTCTTTGAACTTAAATGTCCATTGCACAGGTTCTCACCCAGCACATCATACAAACTGCTGTAAAGTGAAAAATCTTAAGCCAAAAAAAGAACTGCCGCAAAATTAAAAAACAAAGTACACATTTCAGTTTCTACTCAGAATGTTTCAGAGACCTTGCTTTAATCGACTTTGACGCCCTCTTCCTCCTGCTCTCGCCATTCTCCTCATTTTCCTCCTCATACTTGACTTCGCCCTCATGCAATGGATTCTTCAGGATAAATCATAGTGCCATTTCATGTTCTAGCTCAACATTTTTTAAGGACCATCCCGACTGCTAATGATTCAATTGTTTTAACCTCTTTTGTTGCTTTAATGTGGTGCAAAAACCAAATAGTAATAAAACATGTAAGGATTTGATGTAAATGATGTTGAAGCTGTCTTCTTGGCCAGTAGTGTTGAGCTCTGATACCAAATTGTTGAATTTAAACACAGAAAATTTATTTTATTATGGAGCAACACTTTACAAATTATTGTATGAAACAAACACACCAAAAATCTCTTCACTAATTTAAGTAGCACCTTGCTTATTTCTCTCACTAATTCACTGCCTCTCTCCTCACTTTCTCACAGTAACACATCACTCATATATATTTTGTCTCTCTCACTTCTCTCATTACACACACATATGCAATACATTACAGCAGTATATATATAGAGGCTGGAAGTCGGAGGTTGAAGCTTCTAGCATGGCGGTGGAAATGGGCTTTGATGATTCTAGATTATTCTTGCAATTTGCTGCAATTATGGAGAATTCCAGAAGCAACAACCAAATTAAGATACCGGATGAAGTAGCCACAACATTATGGAAATTTCCATAAAGTCGACAATGATCCCTTCAAGTGATTGGTTACACAGTTGCCACCTTATCTTGTTTCTTCAGTGTCAGAAGAACCTGTAATATCCAAAAATTCCTATCGTGTGACCAGAATTATTTAATGTCGAGTTATCCTAGTAGCTCCTAGTGAGTCCATGTCCATGTCCAGTCGATAGTCTAATGATGAGAGATCTATCTGTCTAAAGAAAATGAGTTATTATTTAATTAACTCCAAAAAAAAAAAAAAAAAAATTTGTACAAATTTATTTGGAGTTAATTAAGTACAAGACTTTTTAACTTGGATGGACTCCAAGTCATACGTCCTATGATGTTTATTCTCTTTTCAATTTTAATGTAAAGTTAAATTGTAAGATATTTTCAAGGTTTCAATACCAATGACACTGCTATGGGTTTATTAGAAAATTTCCTTCTTGTAGTTTCTAACGTCTCCTTATCTTTTCCCTTATGAAATGTGTTAATGTAAAGAACATATACAAAAACTTCTCGCAAGCTAGAGATTTCAGCTCCCTCTTTCTC